TCCTGCTACCTTTCCATGCTAGGAGCTAAGAAAACTCTATGCTGCTTTGGAACATTAAATTTTTTAAAAAATCAGCTTGAGATATAATTTACACATAATAAAATTCAACAACTTTAAGTGTATGATTTGATGGGTTTTGACAAATGTACAATTGAGTAACCACCACCATAATCATAATATAAACTGCATTTCTATTCCCCCAAATGCTTATGGCCTTGGAGCATTTTATGAAGGATCTGAATGTTAAATATATGCTTCTTGGAATTCTACTTGGGGGTGAGCAAAATAGTGTCCAGACAGAAACATGCTTTCCTTATTCTCACAGGTGGAGATGGGGCAAAACTTACGCTAAATGAAGTCTCCTTGACACGTCTACTGTGAGATTTAGCAAACTAATGCATTAATTGGAGAAACAAAATGAGGCAGTATTATTGTTCTCTGATTTAAATTTTACGAGGTGAATAAAAAGCATTATCTGAGCATTCCCACTTGTGTTAGTGGTCAGCTATGCTGTGGCTTTTAAGTTAAATAGCCTTGGGCCTGAATATTGACTCTGCCACCACTAGTGGTCGAAGCCTGGGAAAGAATGTAATATCCTACTTCCTACGTTCTTATTCTATAAAGTGGGAATAAAAATTTCCTCCTCTAAAGTGCTCAGTATAATGCGTGACACATGTTAGGCTCTCAAAAAATTACTGCTCCAACAGAATATTCTGATAGACAATTAGAATTAATAAGAGACTTCAACAGTTTCACTGGATTCAAGATTAATATTTAAGAAGATAATTTCTTTATACCACCAACAATCAACTATATAATTTTAAAAAAATCCATTTCCCAATAGAAACAAAAATTTTAAGTATGTAGCACTAAATATAATTTGCTTTATTTTTATTTATTTATTTTTTTTGGTAAAAGTGCACATCCTGTATGGGAAATTTATTTAATGATTTAAAAAGAAGTATAAGGAGAAATTTATCATGTTCATGGATGGAAAGATACAATAGCATAAAGATGGCAATTATCTCTCCAAATTAATCTACAAATTCAATGCATTTCCACTCAAAATCCCAATAAAGGTTTTAAAACTTGACATGTTGTCCCTAAAACCCATGTGATCATATAAAGGGGCCAAGGAGAGCTAAGACAATTTCAAAAAAGTAGCAGGAGGGAGAACTTGCTCTCTTAGATGTGAAGAATTATTATAACTATATAGTAATTCCCATATACAGGATCTTGGCATACAACAGAGGTAGCATTACATATCAGTGGAGAAAGGAAGGACTATTTAATGAATGATGTTGGGACAATTGGCCACTCATATGAAAAAGAATAAATTAGGTTTCTGTACTGCATATCATATACAAAAATCAATTATAGGTAGATTTTGTATTATACAATGAGTAAAAGCCAAAAAGGAAAAATAGCTAAACTCAACCCAGTGAAATAAAAAACTTCTTTCCATGCCTTAAAATGTGCCAGTTAAAAGACAAATCACAGACTAGGAGATGAATGAGCAAGAAGGAATTCTGCCAGTGGATAGTCTTTGACCTGGAGCTGCCAGTCTTCTCTGAGTCTCCAGCCTGCTAGCCTACTCAGCAGATTTTAGACCCACCAAGCCTCTGCAGTCACGTGAGCCAGTTCCTTAAGAAGTTGGCCACGAAAAGATATATTTCAGGAATAGTAACTACAAAGGCCCCAAGGAAGGGACAAGTGTGGTGTGTCAGGGACAGAAGGGGGATTTGTGGTGGAGAACTGAACAAGGTAGGAAATGTGGTTTGAGATGAGTCTGGAGCAATAATCAGGGACAGAACAAGCAGGCTCTTTGGGGCTGTAGGGAGGGGTTTGGGTATTACTTTCATTGCAGTTTGATTATGTTGAGGACAGCAGTGACAGCAGAGGAAAGGTGGAGACTGGTTAGGAGGCTGGAGGTCAGATGAGAGATTGACATGGTTGATTCGGGTTATTCACATTATGATAAAGTCCAAGATTTTTTCCCATTGAAGGACAAGGCAAGATGCTCTAGGATGTATGCTGCAGTATTTTCAGTGGTTCTCCTAAATGACTGTGAGTGTAGAATTTCCAAATTAACTAACATTAACTTGTGGAATATTTAAAAAATCAGAAAATTACCAACTACAAAATTCCTTCACCAGGCCTTCTGCCAAAACTGTTGGGGATTCCATGTATTCACGATTCTGTGCTTGCACAGTGTTGCAAGCTGGGCTATGAGTTTGCAGGGAGGTCCTTCCCAGGGGGCAGGTGGAAAAGCATCCCGAGAAAGAACAAATGCATATGACCTAGAATTAGGTCCCTGGTCTCCAACCCATGAGGAATACCGGAAGCAGCCAAGAGATGGCCAGCAAGTCTCTGCATCATTCCATCTCGGTCTTAATACCCAATTGAAAGTTAGAAATGTGCTTTGGCTTTCAGGAATACTAACAAAACATGAAAAGGAACTTGAGCATCTTTTCAATGTCTTTTCCCACAAGTCACATATTACTAGTAGGACCAAAAGTCCAGTGAAAATTGAGACCCACGTTCTTTGTGGAAAAAAAAAAGCTTTAAATTCTTGCTGAGGGGGTAGATGTGGGGAGACTTTGCATATGTAGAGTTGCCTGAGATCATGAAGAGATGCTCAGGAAGTAGAGTTCGGTATTTAATTCTGGGATCTCTCTTGCATTTGGGATTTTTCAGAAAGCTCCTACATCTAGGAATTCAGAGGAAATACCCTATTTTCTCGATTATATAACTGGCATCACAGAACATGCATCCATGTCAGGATATTTCGAAGCTGTAAACCATTTTGCTTCATTATGACTCCAAGTGTGAAAAGAGACTGGAGACAGATCTGGGGTCTTTGCTCTTCTCTGCCATTGCTCTGAATGTTGGGGATCCCCAGGATTTTGTTCCTGGTCTTCTCTTATCATTCTTTACAACTCACTCCTGGAAAATCTTATCCCCTTATGTTTTTAATTGACAACTGCAATCTGTTATTTCTAGCACTGTTCCATTATTCCAATTACCAAATGAATACTCTCACATGACTGCCCCAAAGATATTTCAAACTCATCTTATCCCAAATAAGCTCATTATTCTCCCTCTTCTCCCTTTCTCTAAGCCTCCTCATCCTCTTATGTTCTTTCTCTCAATGGACAGCATGCCTCCTTCCCCCTGACCCCAGAAGCTAGTGCTCCAGTAGTGTTCGTTTCCCTTGTCCCTCCTACCCACGCCCCTCCTTACCTAAAGGAAATTAAGAGAAAAGGGTGAAAGTATGAATTTCTTTTATACCTTCATGAAAGTAGGGTGAAAAGTTAGGTGACCAAAGCAGTAACTTAAGAGGGGGAATTTATGGATTGTATGACAATGAAAGGAAGATGGTGAACCAAACAAGAAATTCCAACCCAATATTTCAAAGCAGGTTCCTGATAAATAAACAATTATACTTCAAGAAGATACGATGTCATCCATCTTCTCCTTATCATAGAAATATGTGAAATTTTGTCTTCTTAAAACTGAAGACAATGATTTATAATGACAACATGGCTGCATATTTATTGATTACATTGTTATATTGTATGTTATTTATTTTGTTTATGACTATGATAAATATTTGTATAAATGAAAATAGACCAACAACAAAGCAATTAATAAATTATTATATGTACAACTCAAGAGTCTTATTCTTAAACCAAAGTTCCAACTGGATTTTTAGTTCAACTGTCTCTTCCAAGCTTTTAGCAACTGTTTCAAATAGCACCGACTGTTAAAGTACCAAGATTTTTAATGACATCAACTAACAATTTCCCACTCCCTGCTGTTAAAATAAACTACCACCCTTGTAATTAGGGATGACAGAATCTTCTGCCCAATGACACAGAAACTACAAAGTGGCTGATTCTGAGTTCTTATTTTAAAAAGGAAAATAGAAAAAGCAATGTGAGACAAGTGATCATAGCTATGACTAACATATAATTGACTTGTGTTCTATTTGTCTTTTGACATTGCTGTCATTCTTTCTCTCAACGTCTTCAGAGCAAAATGGAAAGGAAGGAGGCTTACGACCTGGTTCTAGGAAGGAAGGGCATCCCTATGGGAATGGATTCTTACCAAAGCCTGAATTGCTTATTTTTGTGAATACATTTATGTGTGAGATGATACTACTTAAAAGAGAGAAAACTTAGATATAATTCAAACCAAGATACCCTTTAGGACAAGTGTGCTCTGTGAGAGAACTTTATTTTTGTTTAAAGCACTTTTGTTGTACATAGAGCCAATTAGTCCAATTTAACCACAGACTTGACAGAAGCCAATTGTGGCAAAAAGTCACTTCCTTTTTCTCGAAGTCCAAGAAACTGAGAAGTCAGTGAAATGTGAGCTGGGAAGGTTTGAATTAATCAAGTTTCTAAGGTCAAGTAAAGAAATGGTTTATTAGCTAATATCTGATTAAGTTCCAAGAAACCCACCTTGCAGCCTTAACTACATACTAGATGAGGAAAATGATGCTCAGATAAATTGATTTGCCACAGAGAAAGATTTACTCAAGGTCATTCAAGCAGTTACTGGAGCACTAACTTTCTACCTGTTTGACTGATGCCTTGACCACCATGCCCAAAGGCCATATCTGACTCTCCCTTGATGGACCTTGGACCAAAGGTGGTGCCATTTTATGGAAGTCACGATCAAGTGCCCTAGTGTAAGTAATTAGGAGGCACTGCTTTCCCCATTCACCCAGCAGTGTTTTATTTGTGTGTGCAGTGACTATGTGCACACAGTGACCATGTGCACGCAGTGACCACGACTGCTGACTGCTTTCTAAATAGGTCATGAGAATGCAGCTCACTGTGAAACTTTTGAAAAACAGCTTTGTGAAAATCATGTCAAAGACCGTTGTTGGACAGCCCAAATCAAAGGAAGCCTTTGTTCTTTTGCCTTCCTGGTGAATTGACAGTTTTACACACCATCAGATGAGGTTTCATTGAAGGAACCTCTACACTCACCATGGAACCAGGGAGCAATGGTGTCGGAGGTCTTCTCATAGCCTGCTCGCAGAGGTAGCTGCTCCTCTTTAAACCATCGGATGATGTCCTCCTGAGCAGAGCTGGATGCTGTCCTTGTCACTCCTTGATTTCTGTTATTTATAAAACCAGTTTTCAAGTTAGATTTAACTAATTTGAAAGTAATGCCTTCAAAAAATACATATACATATATATATACATATACATATATGTGTATATATATATAGTGGTACATAATGTGTGTATGTGTATGTATGTGTGTGTATATATATGTGTGTATATATATATATATATACACACACACAAAAAAAGATGGTAAAATTAAATTAAAATGATTTTAAAGTAGAAACCAGGACAAAAAAAAAAATGCTTCAACAAACAAATATAAACATGCTTAAAACAGAAAGAAAAAAAGAAAGAAAGAAAGAAAGAAAGAAAGAAAGAAAGAAAGAAAGAAAGAAAGAAAGAAAGAAAGAAAGAAAAAGAAAAAGAAAGGAAGAAAGAAAGAAGATGATTATAGATATTTGAAGATCATCTAATTACATGGGTTGAGCTAATGGGAGGTTGGACCCCTACCCACTGCCATTATATAACTCTTCAAGAGCAGAAAAATAGGAAGGAACATAAATATGTCACTTGTCCTTCCAGTCCTATAGGGCTAATCTTGGGTATGAGCTGCTGCTGTGTTAATACATAGATTTTAATTTATTTTTAGTATAAATTAGAAGCTCCATTAACTTCCAATTAAAATTTGAGGAAATAAGCATTAAAAATGTGAAATACACTACCAGCACTATTTTCCTAGAGAGCATATACTTGCAAACACAATAAATCAAATATAATAAAATAAACTTCTTTCCTAAAATTTTCATTATTTGATTTTCTCTTCTTTCTCTGTTTGCTAACTTCCCTGACTTTGTTTCTTCTCTCCCATACTTTGAAGAGGTTTAGTTCTGTTAAGTGTCAGAAATATAAAGTTAAAGAAAGAAGAGTATTTCAAGATTGGTTAAAAAAAAAAAAGACATAGTCAGCAGAAGAATATGGAAATCGATTTAGTAGCAGAACTTAAGTTCTGAGATATTAGTCAATTGCCATTACAAAAAGTATCATTTCGATGTGATAAACATATTTACAAGTCCTGCTCAACAGCCCACTAATTTTGAGCAGAATTCAATGTAAAAACAATAACAGTGAGTTTGGATGAGCTACTAGAATGTCCTGTCATGTAAAATAATGTTGTAGCTTTTTATGGTAACATGCTACCACGAATTACATGTGACATATATCAGATGGACTGATATACATGTACATATGCATATATATATATATATATATACACACACACACACACACACACACATACATACATAGCATTTTGGAGAAAATAGCCTATAATATTTGACTTTCCTGGGGAGATTACATGATAAGTTCTCTTACTAGTTTTCAAATTAGGTTTTTTTTCCTTAGGAAGTCTTTGGAGATCAAGCAAACACTATAAGGACAGCCAGTTTCTGTGTTTCCCTGGGCTGGCTCTTAGCTGACCTTGGTCATCACTGTTTAAAGTGCCAGCCCTAAAATCATCCCATTTGTCTGCCTCACAAGAAGCACTTCATGCAAGTGTCTTAAGATAGAGAAAAATGAACTAACTGAGCACAGCTTGAAACAAGAATTGCCCTTATTAAAGGCCACCTTCACTGTTGCCAGTAACATACACTGTGCTCTAAAAATATTGCAGGTAAGGGCACAAGTCATACTTCTACCCTGGAAGAGCCTGAAGAACAGGAGCGGGTACACAAGAGCGGGGTCCATGATCAATACACACACACACACACACACACACACACACACTCACACACTCACACAGAGGGTCCCTGTGCAAATGCTCACACCAACACACACACACACACACACACTCTCACACAGAGGGTCTCTGTGCAAATGCTCACACTTTTGTGGCCTGGTCACAAAACTGCAAGGAGACCCGTTGCCTTTTTTGTTTTGCTGTCCGTAAAAGAAAAAAAATCATTCCCCAAACTGTCACTGTAGAACATGGGCATTTAGCGTTGGTCCCCAAGTCTCAAAATGGAACCTTTCCGCTGAGTAAATAGAAATAATTATAGTAGAGGAAAAAGTCCACCTTCGTTTTCCTCTGAGGTCATAATCCCATTAGGAAAAACACCCTGAAGATAACTACTGACTGCAAGCAAAGGGAAATTTTTGTTTGTTTTTTATTTCCCCATTCTCATAACAGAGAAGCATTTTTAGTTTTTATTTCAGAAGGTAAGGCTTACGACAGTTCTGTTTCATCCAATCAACATTTGATTTCTCCTGGTTATTTTAAATATCACCTTTCCATATATTAGATTATTAAATATCATATATCAATAACCAAGAGGAAAGAATTTTATAATCGGTTAACATAAGGGATAGGGGGGTTTCTGTTGTGATATTATTGTACTTTTCTTCAGGTATTTTCCAAAAATATTATTTTGCCTAAACCCCCTCCCGCTCCCCCGCCAACCTAGGAGATAAAGGTACCATCAACACCAAATAAAGAGTTCATTCAAAAAAATAAACATTTCCAAATTCTCAACATGTGAGCGTGGCTATGTATCCCCGAGTTGGAATTAGCATCAAACCTTTAATCCTGAGCAATGAAAATGTAGCTCTTCGGACACCGTGAAAGTCAGCAAGCCCTTAGGTTCCTACTTCGATACTCTGTCACTACTAAGAACAACACTGGGAATTGACAGAACCTCAGTTGTGTCCTCTTGTCTCTTCATTGGCTCACCTGCTGCCACCAGGTGGGGGTGAGCGAGTGGCATGGGAAGTTGGCAAACTCAATGCTCATCATCACTAAGTTATTGGGTATATTAATTATAACAACTGTGGATACTTTATAGATAAGAAGGGAGTAAATGCCAGACAGGCTTAGAGGTGAGACCGAATTTAGTTACACAGCCAGTCAAATGGTCCTCCACTTCCTGTAGCCCAACATGTGATTTGTCCTTACTCAGCTCATTTCAATCCTTATTCTTAAAGCCATCTGCGTGACTTCTTACCTAAGAGGCTTTTGAGGGCATCCTGCTGGGTTTAGAAACATAGGCTTGGGTGGAAGAGGGGGTCTTTTTGGTTTCTGTGGAACACTTGCGGGGCTTTGCGGTCCCTCACCACTCCTTCCTTTCTGGGATAACCTCTTGTAGTCTTCCCGGGCTTGTTTAGCCAAGGAACGTCTCCTCTCATCAGCTGCTTTGGATTTTCGCACTAGAAAAACAAAAGGGTTTGAGAAAGGCCCTCATTAGCCCATAGAGGTGGTCAGAAGAATCCGCACTGCAGCTGGTGAACAGATGCTGTCATCTGACGATAATGATGAATGATCACTATCAAGGCCTATTATTCAGATAGGGCTTGCACATTCACAACTGCCCAGAGTTCGCTGCAGAATTCCTCTTTATATGGGAGTTTGGGGGCTTTCTGTGAGGGAGAGAGGAGGAAGGGGAGGAGGAAGGGACAAGACAGAAACGTAGAATCTTTTGTTTGAGGATTTCTTGTAGTCAGTAAGACTAAGTGATGAGTCACAGCCTGAGTGAGGATTCCACTTGGCAGAGGTGATGTCATATCCTTCACGCATACTCTAGTTTAGGATGTCATGTGCCCTGAATCACTAGCAAAGGTCAAGCTGTCAGGAACTTCTCAGTGGCTCAGGCTGTGCATAGGGTGAACAAGCAGTGAGGCTCGCCACTGGTCACACTCAGAGCCCACTATGAGCTGAATCCATTGAAAATTGGCCTGCCAGACCAAGAAGTAAAGTGATTCTTAATACAGACAATCATTGGACATGGTGGTACATATAAAAGTACCCCAAGGCTGCCTTTTAATAGTGCCTTGTAAAATGGAGGGTTAATTGTTTTTATTTTACTTTTGTTTTAACGACACAGCATTAGACTCTAATGCAAGATGTAAGAATAATTTTCATTGAGTGTATATACACATCCGGCATTGCTCAAATCTTATTACGTTTGACTTCGAAGAGATGACAGAGATGTTCCATTACACTAGGACTCCACTGCAGAGAAGTGACTAGATCTTGCAAATATTTCTGTTTCATAGAACTGCCGTTTTAATGGTGCTCATTGTACTGGAACTGAAGTCAATTTAGAATTCTCAGCATCCTGCAAACATTGCTACTCCTCTTCCTCAAGTTGCCTCAAGAGCTAATCTGGCAGTTCAGGCTTCTTTGTTTGAGTCAGATGGAAACCCTAGCGCTACCTCAAACCTGAATTAACTTAGCATCTTCAAACGTGCTCTACTCCACATCAATCTGCACTGGCTTCTTTCGAGGGTTTTATCTCCGGTAGCGCTAACTCAAAAAAGAGTCAGGGTTGGGTCAGAGGCGTGGGAAGGAGGCTAATATATTCAGCCTGTTATTCCTGTGTTCTTCTGATTACAAAGTTAAGATGTGTTCATTACAGAATTTTTAGAAAATTAGAGAATAATAACAAGAATTCAAATAAGTAACTTGAATCTCACCTCTCCAAGAAAACTAACGTTAACATGTTCATTGCCTTCTAGTTCTTTTCCTTCATATACTTAGATATTTAAAAATAGGGATATTTTTCATACTATTTTATGTTTTTACTTCTCCTTGCTAAAAAGGTATAACATCCCAAGGTCATAAAACACTCTTCTGAAACATGTTTTTCTCATAGCTATATACCATTCTATCATATTGATATAACATAATTTTGGTGGTACAAAGATGAATTGAGAATATTTCTGCTATTCAACAAATGGCTCATAAGCCTTTGGGTAATAGTTTAGTGTTAAAATATCTCTCAATTATCACTTTAAGAGCTTTCTAGATTATCATTTCCTTACATGAACCAATTGGCTTTGAAAGGCCTCTGGGTACTTACAAGATGCCTGCCACTCCGAATCTTCTTTCCAGTTCTTATAAATCTGCTTGGTTCTCTCTTCATCTATTTGTTTTATTTCTTCATCTTGTGTTTTCTTTGTGGATTCCTTCTTCTGTTTAAAAAAATAAGAAACAAACACTAGTGAGCGAATCTGGGTCTTCTTGGATGAGGAGGGCTCTAGGCACACCTGATTTCCATCTAACTCCGTCTGGCCCCCTGAGGAGGCACTTTGGTGTTGTGGGAATAGCATGGTGTCAGCCATACCCAAAGCCGGCTCTACCTCTATCTGGTTGTACAACACCATGGCTGGTTACTAAACCCCTCTCAGGCTGGTTCCCCCTACGTAAAATTAGATAATTAAGACTATTTTGTAGAGTTATAATAAGGGTTAAATAACTTTTAACGGTGCCTAGCACAATGTGTAACAGATAGTAAAAACTGAATAAACATGCTTTAAATTGAGTTCTCTGAAGTAAGGTGTAAACACTGTTTCATGACACCAGTGTAAACACTACAGTACCTGACAGGTTCCACAGAATAATGGTAAGTTTCTAACGCAATCTGAGCTGTATCTCCACGGGCTCTTGAACCATGTGTCTGAAAATGTGGTACTTATACATGATTTTAGGTGGCTCAAAAAGGAATTTCTTTTTGTCTTAAAAAATAAAACAGAAAAATATTTTTTTAAAAGCATCCTCTTTGTGAAAGGAAAATATTTGTTAAAAAATGAATTTTCCTTTAAAAAAGAATTCAATGGTTTTTTTTTGTAGTAAAATAAACACAACATAAAATTTACCGTCATCAATTTTTAACTGTACAGTTCTGTAGCATTAAGAACTAACACATCAAATCACTTAGACTCAAAAAGTACTTTGCTTATTTGGGTACAGCCTGCTGAGTGCTCATAAGACAACTAAAATTGCAACTTGGTGAACTCAATAAAAGCCGTGGTTAGCTAGGAAATGAAACACGCTGAGAGGGTCAGGAAAGACTGACTATGCTTCATTCTCCATCACGAAAATGACAGTTTTGTTTTCTTTCGTGTTTTCCTAGGAAGATAAAGACTTTCGTGCTGTTAAATTGTTTCACTATAATTAGAATATAAACCTTGATGTGAATTTGTCTTTAATCATCATAGGAAGTCATAAATCATAGTTAATGTAGAAGGTGATAATTCATAAACTGTACTTCACTTCAGGTGTACCTAAACTTTTGTGTACTTATTGTTTTCATTTTTTTCTTATACTCTTTTCCTGCCTAGAGCTAAGCCCCCTTGGTTTATCAACATTATAAAAACCAAAAAAATAGCTTCTGGTGTTTGAAATGACTGCTAAAATTTGCCACCCCCTTACCGAAGCTGTCTATAAACCTGAAATACATACAAAGTGCTGCCAGCAATTTCTAAGCGTAAACATAATTTAAAAATCTTAAAAGTGGAGCTTTGTTCATCTTCCACATACATACTTTAAAATGATTTAAACTGATTAGAAAAAATATAGTTATAACATTCAACTATGATATTATGGGTTTTATTGCTTACAAAAAGCAAGAAGTTTACTGAGTCTACCTAAGGAAAACCATTAAGTAAAAAATAATGCAGATGACACTCAAATGTCTGAGAGTGCTATATTTAGTAAACAATATTCCTTGTTGATCTTTACTTTCTCTACGTAAAAAAACCATTTCCTCTTTAGAAGTGTTTTGCTATGAGCAGGTCGGTCCAAGATGAAGACTGTGACCTAGGTATGGGAAAGTCAAAGTGAAGGCTGGGGAATGAAGAGGCAGCAGGGCTGAGGCTGGACACTAGTGCAAATGCCCAGGGGCTGAGGTGTGGAGACAGAGAGGGGCAGTGTGAACTATCACAAGGTTTCCTACAGAAAGCCTTCTCACCTGGACTGTTGATGGAAATACTTTCCACCTGTCCCTCATTAGACCCTATCCATTGACCCAGAGTAGGAAGACTCTGTTTTATTATCTTAGTTCTACAGAGAAACTTGGTAAGTGATCTGCACATTCATTCTCTTGAATTCCGATATAACTTCTTAAGTTAGAGAAGGAATGGAACGGCACCTGGCCCTGGGCATTCTCATGAGAGGTAAATACTGTGAAAGTCTGGCTGTCTCACATTCAAAAGTGTGGATCGGAACCACTCGTCTAGTCTACCACCCCACCTTTCGAGAGACAAGAAACCTTAGGCCCAATCTAAACAGTGATGTGCCTCAGGCCTCAGACCACTTCTCTTTTCCATCTAAATTTACACGCTAGATGATCTCATCTTTCCTCATGACTTGAAATAACACCTACGTACCAAATTCCTTATAAGGGTCTACACGATTCTCAGCCCTTATCTGCCCTCTCATTTACTGACCTCTCTGCAATCCCTTGACCATGTAAATTGAGCTCTTGCCTCTGTGCCTTCATACCTGCTGTTCTCTCTCACCAGGAACATACTTTCCCCACCGCCACCCACATAACTCCCTCCCTCATTCCTTCAGGTCTCTACTCCAATATCACCTTCTGAGAGCAGCCTTCTCTGACCACATCTCTAAGAAACCAATTCCCACCCTCCCAGCATTCCTCAGCTCCCTTATCCTAAATTATTTTCTTCCATAGCAATTATGATCACCTGACTTCAAAGAACTGTTTATCGTCTAGATAAACTAGATTACAAGCTTCCTGAGGGCAGGACTTTTATCTGTTTTGTTCATTGTGTCTCCAATGCCTGTAACAGTGCCTAGCATGTATGAGAAAGACAATACACGTTGGTTGAACAATACACATTGGTCTTTCTCACCTGTCTTCATTTAAAACGATATAATGTACTCTGAGCAGCGTTACTGAAAATTTCCTTTAGATACTCTATTGCTGCTATTTTAGAAAGAGGTACATATGTACTACATCAGCAGTACACACACCAGGACTACAGATCCAAAACTTTATCACATTTTCTCGAAGTCTCAGACATGCAAGCTATCCCATTCACGCGTGCCTCTACAGAAGAGTCAGAGAATTGATCTCACTGTCCACAGGAACACAGGCCTTGGGGCCCGCCTCCACTACGGCCCCCACATGAGGCCTGTGGTCACTCAGAATCTTCTCTTTACAGTCTCGTGTCTGACCCTACTTTTTCAGCTCTCTGCAAGTCCAATCCTACTACGGTTTCCAAGTGTAGCCTATGCCTCATTGATTTTGAGCAATGCATGATGCGATAACAGTCTAGCACGACGGGGGAAGTGGGCTCAGCCTGTACGAGGAATCTCACGTCTGGATGAATGTGAGAGAGATCTGAGTGCCCGAAGGAGCCCTGGCACAGGGGACGTGGAGGACACAAGAGGCTGCTCATCGTAAGGGACAGGCTCACAGAAACAATGAACACGTAAGGGACTTAGTCTGAAATCACTGTTTCTGCCAAGTGTAGTGTTTCATTTATCACTCTCTGAAATCAGTCTTCCCTCAGTATTTGCAGCAGCCCAGGATATTGTCTCTGTTTTAGATCTTCGGTGAGTCTAGCGGACACGTCTTGGCATCTGTTCTTTCCATGATACTCAAGACTTTCAATTTCAGATAAACAGGCAAAGATGAATAGCTATGTTCAAAACCTTTAAAGACAGATTTCACATTCTGCTGCTTAATTTCATTTCTGCATGAGACTAATATACCAATTTGTGAAACATTAGTGGGAATGGCTATGCATTTAGCCCCCTGAAGACAGAATATAAATCTTTTACCTGATGAAATCCATATGCCTTCATACGATTGATAGAATCTGCCAACATTTGTTGAATATTTCTCGAGGAACTGGAGGGTAACTAAAAATTAAATGAAACACATTTTTATACCATTGGAGCTGCACTGCAGTTTCAGAAAACAATATGTTAATGCTTTCCTTGTTTTAACGTTCTCCAGTGCTGTCCCCTCCCTCACAACTGGAACCACTAAAGTTTACCACTAGCACCCAAGTTCCTGAGCCAGTCCTGACTGAGGCAAGCAGAGAGGTGGAGCCTCAGTCTCCCCACTCAGTGGGGCTTAGAAGTGAATTACTGCCCAAGAGGCAGGAGCTGCTGGTTTGTTCATGACAACTGAGTTTGTCTGTCTTGCTCCCAGTGGGCCCCAGGCCCCTGGGATGACTTCTAGATGTCAGTAGTGCTCCTTAATCTAAATTCTCTCCTTCTTTCAATACCTTCTCTCCTTCTCTCAAT